CTTTAGGCAACTAGAGAAACAGGTGGAGAGGAGGAGTCTGAATATACAATTATCAGTCACATATCTAAATAATAAAGGCATAGGGCCCCTACTAATAATTATATATAAATATATAGTTGTTTACCGATGGAAAGATTTTAACAACTAAATCCCAAATTGTATCTGGTGCACACACGTAAATCAGGGCAATTGCATCTTGAACTTTTATGTTGGTGCGCTGATGCGAATTGGTGAATCTTACCATACCTACTACAATACTACATGTTTTGAGCAGTATATAGCCTTATTTTTAACCACATCATAACTTGTGGAATTTATTCAAGATCTCAGGTCTGTATTACATACCAGTAGGAGGATTTTCCTCTGAGAGAACAGAGGAGAGTGGACAGCCAGCTGTGATCTCTATTCTGTTCACTTCAGTGTAATTTAACCAGGCTGGAAAGGAAAACACAGCTCTTCATTACACACTGCTGCAACATGCAGGAAGGCTCGCCATCTGGCTACTTATCTCTCTCTCATTCTCTCTGCCTCTGTTTGTTTCTCTCCACATTGTTGTCTCTGCCACTTGTTTAAGAAAAAGATTGAGAATAAATAAGGGAGAGGGAGAAAGAGCAAGGCAAAAGGAGAGGAAGAGAGTGAAAATAGAATTAGAGGACAATGGGAGAGAATAAGAGGGGAGAGAAGGTGGATAGAAGAAATAAAATGGAAAAAAACAACTATGAGAAAAGATAAAAACAAAATAGATCCAGAAACAGAAGCTAGATAAAGAGTAAGGCAATTGTACGGTTTTGTCTTGCTCTGTCTCTATCTTCTTTTCTATTTCTCTACCCTCACCCTTCCTCGTCTCCTAATGAAGTTATCTTTCTTCCTCTGTCACGATTCTCTCCAGTCTGGGTTTCCTTCCGATAAACAAGACTTGGCAGCATACAAAACCAAAAAGTAAAAAAAAAAAGAAGAAAACTTCTTCAGAATCTTCAGGGGAAAGAGGAGGTGCATTTTGATGGCTATGTTTTCATTTCCACCACTCTCAAGTACACTTTTTATCATCTGGAGTCCTTCAGCTTGGAGTGTGAAGGAACTGTCAGCTCTACTCAAACTGCATAAGGTTTGTAGAGTGTTTTCACTGTCAGTCTTAGGTGTTAGGTAATTGGAGAGATTAAATTAAAACTAACTTAGAAAAAAGAACTTGCTCAGCATTGCACCTGCATGCACCCGGGTTCAGATCCCAGCAGTGGAGCTTATATTTTAGCAGTAGCAGATGTTATGGATGGATCATGTATGCCTCACTGTACTAACAACTGACTACAATAATATATCCAACAGCATTAAGTAGAAACTGCATTTAAACTACATTTAAAAGTAACGCAAAAGTTACTTTACCTAGTAACTAATTACTTTCACTTTTGAGAGCAGTAACTACTAACTGTATCTAATATGTTCTTTTTCAGTAACTTGCCCAACACTGCACAGTACTACACTCACAGTCTGCCTGGAACCAGTATACCTGGTGTCCTTAAGGGTTTCCAAATGAACTGTAGCCTGCAGTTGGCTAGCTGATCTGGGATACTGTTGTGCACACTGTGTCAAACTTTAGAGGTCAGAATAGCCATTTTAGACCTACGACCCACTCCTTACCCCTTTCCCTACCTGCTACATAGGAAGAAAGCCCAGCAGTAGATAACACTTTTACATTAAAGTGCAATTGAAAATAATGGGCCAACAGGCTGACAACAGTATGCCCACTTTCTCTCCCTAGCAGTGGTCTGACTCCAATCTTCCTGTCCCCTCTCTGTCTCTGTTTGTATTCTGTGTTTGTTATAACCTTTGAGTGTCCTTGCGAGGTGTAAGTGTGCGTATGCACTGTACATGTCCTGGCTGCAGCTGGCTTGTGGGTGACCTGTTTGTGCAGGTCAAAGTCTGAAAACAAGCTCAGCAGCGTTCTGTCCACCCGAAGGAGCATCTGACTTCACCTTCAAGCTTGTGCACACACAAACACGCGCAACCTGCTCACCTCAGCTGTCGTGTCTTTTTCTCCTGCAGGAGCCTGGTTGAAGTCGGAGGAGACGGTGGCGATGAAAACAAAGAGAGCTGACTTTGCCGCTGCTTTCCTGCGTGGCCGGATGATAGTAGCTGGAGGACTTGGTAAGAGTGATACATTGTAAACTAATGTTTCTGTTTGCTGCTTTCACACTGCAATTTATATTGATTGAATTTTGCTGCATTAACGTTACATAATTCATGTCAGAGCAATTTGATGGGTTAAAAGTAACCTACTGATAAGTTCTCACATGACTAAATGTATCTGACAGTAAATTCAGTAGCAAAAAAGAAATCCAGCAACAACAGGCTCATGATCACAAAATGAAGGGAAAATGTGCCGTTCTTTGTTTTATTTATACAATTGGCTGCACTTGATTACAGGTTTAATCATGATTATGTCAAAACTTAAGTCTGGAACAATAACTAGCTGCAATGTTGTGAGCTAAATGAAATCCTGATGCCTTTATGTTGTTAGATCTCCTGTAAAATATGAGAGAAATACAGAAATACCCTGTAAGCCAGTCAGTGTGCAAACGAGGGAGTCTGATATCTCTGGGTGTGTGTGTGCTCTCCAGGTCATGAGCCCTCAGCCCTGGACACAGTGGAGGCCTTTCATCCTCAGAGAAAGAAGTGGGAGAGGTTGGCTCCCATGACCTTTCCCAGATGCTCCACCACCTCCATCGTCATCAGAGACCGCCTCCTGGTGGTGGGAGGAGTCAACCAGGTACACTTCAATTAAGTGAATGGAACACATACGTACATATGCAGTACATATTTTCAGGAACTCAGCAGCTAGTAACAGCAGTAATACATCTACTAGTATTCATGGTGACAGATGTTTCCTGCTCATTGTGATTGACAAGTGTGTCCCAGTTTACATATTTATTTATACCCTCGCCTTAGTGTGGAGTGCCCTCCACAGTTGGGGGTAGGAGCTTGTAAGTAGGTTAGTGTTTTGTCTGACTAACTGCTCACTGATCAGCCTACACAGATCTGTCCCTGCCTTACACACTGTACATGACAGTAGGGTTTGGTGGTATATTGACTTTTTAAGGTATACTGATACATTATCAAATGAGATATATGATGAGAAAATGGTGTTACATAACAATATAGTTGGATGTTGCATCAAATAACATACACAACCCGTTTCTTCTGTAAAGCCATTCCAGTGTTTGCATCTCTCCTCTGTCACCTTCTCTGCACAACCCAGCACCCACACACTCTCAAGTTCTCCTGCATCAGGGTGGGAGAAACAGTGCTGGTCCACATGCTGGTCCATAGGCCTGGTTTGGATTTAAAAGATCAGATGGGCAGCAGAACCATAGCATTTGTAGAGATTGCCATGAACAGGCTGCATCCAGAAGTGGTAGCACTTCAAATCTCTTCCACCACTTACGAGAGAGTGTTCAACTTCATAATGCGGCTGCAACCTTCAGCACCTTTTGCCCAGAAACAAAGCGTGTTGCCAGCCTGTTTACCCGTGGTGTGTCTTTTTAAAAGAGAAGTGCCAGGTGGCGTGAAATAACTAAGGCTAAGACTACCACATCGCTAAAGATATGTTACCTGTTGCAAGAGTGGAATAAGAAGGATTTAAAAAAGCTGCTAAAAACCATTGACCCAAAATACCAGTTGCCCAGTCACAACTAAATTACCAGAGAAGCACTGTTAGAAATGTTCACTGAGGTCAGACAGAATCTTACAGACTGGCTCGCAAAAGTGACTCATTTCGCAGTGACAGCCGATATGTGGTCAAGTAGGACATGTTTGAAAAGTAGGAGGAGTTTGAAAAAGTAGGTTTTGCATATTTCATGATTTTGCTATAAAAGTGCCACCTAGTGCCCCATTCGTGGCAAATTTGGCACAGCACAGTGGGTCATGGGAAATTAAAGGCCCAGTTTCATGTCTAATCGACAAACCTACACAGAGATATGGCATCACCTCCTGATTTGAGTCCAACATACAGAGAGTTGTTCCTTTATAACTTGCATGCTTTTGGCGTATACAATTATAGATTATATTATTATAGAGAGAGATTCAGAATTCAAATATGAGGATTTCACACATAATGTAATTATTTATGATAAAGTACGAAGTGAAAGCTGTAACTTTTTTCTTTTAAAGGGAAAGAAGTGTTTTTTGTTTTCTAATCTTAAAGTCTCTGATATATATCGACTCTCCAAACTCCAAATCAGTCACAGTGGAGGCTCAGCTGTCTGTTATGTAAGGCTGGGTATCAGAAAACAATTCTTACAGGAGTCACATCCGTTTTATATATCTATGTGGATTGTAAAGCATCAATCATAATTGGAAAGGTTTCAAAAGAAATGGATTGCTGTGCAGTTTCAATCAGTTTATTGCTGTGGAGTATGAAGGAAATAAGGTTTGGTCAGTATGGCACTTAAAGACTAGTGCAACTGATAGAAATAAAGTTGCATAAAGTGAACATTAAGTAAGTGATACTGTACATGGTGTCTCAGTAGAAGAAAACAAGGACACAGTGTCATTAATGCAAAGCATCTGAAACTGGGCCCAAACCTGTCATCCAGTCACAGAGCCACAGTGTCAGCACTTTCAGACCTGCAGTTCTGGACCTGCTGTTTCAGTCCAAGCTGTACCACCTGTTGGTAAGAAAAGCAACAGCAACAGCAGTGTAGCAATGTAGAAATTCAGAATTGTGCCATCAACACAGAAATTCCTGATTATTGACACCTTGAAGGGCATTAATTCAATTCAA